CTCTTCCAGGTACGTTCTCTGCCGATCCGTTGTGTGCCTTGCGTGCGTTTCATAACTTTTAACAAATGATTGCGTGCGGGCCGTGTGCGCACACGACACACAACCACGCGACACGGGGCTGCCAGGAACGACATGTCGTAACGCTGCGACTCAGTTGTCCGAATCTGAGTCGTTGAAGGCGCTGCTGGAGCTGGCGAGGAGGGGCTCCCCCAGGCGACTGTAGCCACCGCTCTTGGTGCCCGCGGCCTTGACCGAGCCCGTGGCCGCCCACTCGGCTTGAATCGGCACCGGCGACGCCTCCGGGTTGTCTATTCATATTCGATAGGGAGGGACAACACACGCGCGGGTGAGCACACGCACACGCCGCACGCACCGCACGCACACGCCGCACACGCCGCACACACGAAGTGGGAGAGTAGAGTGTACCGCTGAGAGAGCCGTAGTTCTTGGAGGAGGACTTGATGTGGCGCTTCTTGAGAAGGCGGTCCTCTTCCTGCAAAATTTGCCACGGCTCCGGGAAGAAGTTGCGCTGCACACTGTGGAGCAGCCAAGCCAAGCATTGCGATGAGCATGAGCAAGCAGAGCTCGCGTGTGTGTCGTGCGGTGTGTGCGGTGTGTGTCGTGCGGTGTGTGCGGTGATACGTACTAGGCGAAGAGGAAGTCGGGGAGGAGGCAGGCCACGGTTCCCAGCAAGACCCATAGATAAATGATTGGCATGGTACATATGTGGACTGTGCACACAACAACAACAACAACAACAACAACAACACAAATACACGAACAAATCCACGAACAAAGGGTGAGCCCAAGTGGCGTTGAGAAGATGATGATGATGATGATGATGATGATGATGATGATGATGATGATGATGATGATGATGATGATGAAGACGAAGTGCTGAGGGTCGAGGCGTACAGAAAACGAAAAATTGGTTGGGGAAGAAATAGATGACGGAGCCCTCGCCCAGCACGAGAATAATGTACAGCAGGAGACTGCCCCACACGGTGAAGTGGACCAACCAATTCCAGTTGCTGTTGCACGACGACACACGACGACACACGACGACACACGACGACACACGACACACACGACACACACGACACACACGTCACACACGACAATCAGAACTCGTCCGAAGCGCTAAAGAAGCACGCGTGTGGTGGAGGAACGGTACTTGACGTGGAGGAAGAGCTTGAGGAAGATGACGATGATGCCGACGAAGAGGATGGCGTGGCCCATCGAGTAGAAGCCCGTGTCCAGGCCCGACGTGTCCTGCAGCCCGTCGGCCCACAGGAAGTAGGCCCCGAAGAAGATCACTGAATGCCGCCCCACGAGTCAGCAGCGACACAATTATAAATAACATGAATATTTAATAATAATAATTGAAAAGAAAATAGTAATTGAAATAGTAATTTAAATAAAGACGTGGTGGGCGGAGGCGGTACCGAGGGAGTGGTAAATGGAAGCGGCGAACCAGCCGCAGAGTGACCACATGGTGAAGACCCCATTGCTCTGCACGCGCTTGTACACGTGCGGGTTCTGTCGTCGACGCGACACACGCACACGCACACGACACGACCAACGACACGACACGCAAGACGCACAGACGATACGGGTGAGAAGTTGTAGGAGGGGAGTGAACAAGAAGACGACGGGGCGACTGTACGGCTTCGATGACACGATGGGAGATGTCGGTCTCGAACACGGCCACGGCGATGGGCGGCCACGCGGTGAAGAGGATGTTGAAGAAGGTCATGACCCAATCGTCGTACAGCGTCTGCACACAATCACGCACGCACGCACGCAAGACGACACACGACACGACCAGACGATGATGATGATCAGACGCGCGTGCAACACGCGGGCTGCACAGCTGGAGCGTAAAGCGTACCTGACTGGAGAAGCCGGAGAAAATGCCGAACCACACTTGGGCCAAGAACACGGCCGCGTTCTTGTAGAACGAGTAGTGAATGATCAACGCATTCCTGTATTCACACATATTACATTCCTGTAAGTCTGCATGTTGTGTCGTGTGCCGTGTGTCGTG